TTCTCGAAGTTGCTTAAAATGGGCTGACGCTTATGACGTGAGAGGGCTTCCGCAACTCATGGCACCAGAAACTTGGGGTTTAATAGCGAAACAACGCGAAGTCTGCATGTTTAGGTAGTGAGTTTTATTTCAGGTTTATTTTATTTTTTCAAATTGCATAGTTTTAACACGTTGACGACACGCCCTTGTGCGCAAACCTACTCACCTTATTTTACAAATTTGCATTAACAGTTACTACATTACCAATAATTTCATTAGTGGTAACGAGAGAACTTTTTTCGTATCCAACAGTAGGAAGGGCCAGTCTTGAAGCATGAAAATGGAGGCACAATTTAGGAAAAACAAGTCTCTTCCGTGTGAGAGTGCGGGACGTATGTGTCCCGCGCTGTCGTCAAAGTGTTAAGGTATATATTTCAGAATCACAATGAGCGGTCTGAGAAGTGGAAAGTCCGGTACGTCTCTCACTTCGTATGGATGTGTAGCGATCCACGGTTCGCTACAATCGCCAACGCTATGCGTGTAGAACAATGTGTATGTGACATTTTTGCCTTTTCTTGCTCAAATCTCATGTCGATCTTTTATTTGTGAAGTATTAAACGAATAATGAGAAATAGAAGAAAGAGCAGCAACGTTGAAAATCATTCGTGTGATATAAAAACAGATTTTCACTATCAACGTGTGTGTATAAGGAAGAGTCAGGTTTTTTTTTTCGAAAAACCAAATCCGAAAAATGCCAATCTGCTGGCGATGCTAGCTCAACTTAGAGATGAATAATACTGATCTATTGATGAGCAGCTTGAATTTTAGGCTGCTATTGCCTATTCGATAGATGCTACCACATACGTGGCCTTTCCTTCTAGCCAGTTCTCCAGTTTATTTGGTCTTCCATGGCTGCAGTATCCTTCTCTTCATGTTTTGGTTATTCATGCTAATCCCCTGTTCTATGCTGACTCAAGTGACGTAAACAGCTTCAGTGATGAAACGTAAGAATTTTCCTTTCTCTGAATCTTCTTGTTCTGGTATCGTTTTTCTACAATTGCCGCTCAAATTTTACTCTTTAGAGAGATTACGAACAAAATTCCACTTGGCACTGCAATTTTGGATGGTGATGATATAGCGATTTCTAACTTTTGCAACTCTCAAGGTACGTTCCCATGTTGCATATGCGCTGGATCGTTATTGATTTGATTCGATTCTGATGATGCGGAGTTATTCACAAATTTCCACTAAAGATGCGTTAGCTATGAAATAAATAACGGTAGACTGAAGTTCTGAGACATTGTCACCTGTTACTGCAAAGACTATATGAGTTTGCGAAAACAATTACATACGTTTCTACTGCGAGAATAGGCGTACACTAAAAGTTTATGTGAAGCGCCGGCGCATCAACGTAGTGAATTAGCTAGGTATCGATCAGTTGACTCCACCCCATACATTTGGTAGACACGGATGCGACTAGCCTTTCTCTTATTCTCTTGATCGATTCGTGTAAAGTTTTTTTCCCTGCTGGTTCTGAACATTTCGCCGGGGTTGCGGACGTGAGCAATGACTAGAGATCAGCTGCTACCTTGCCATTTTCTGGAAGTATCGGAATCGAACCTATAAATTTCGAACTCGATTCTTATATTTGCCGGTTTTTTTTTCAGATCATCCTAAGACGCAGCAGTTCATCCAACCAGAGCCACGCGCCCCTGTTGCAAATTTGCCATTCATTGAGTCACCATCACAAGGTATTGAAAGTAGAGTAAAGTTCTATTCTAGTCTTTCCTGCATTTTATTTCGAAGCTGTATCGCCTTGCTCATTAGGACAGATCGCACATGTATTCAGAATCTACAAATTCTCACGAAGCATCTCAAAGTACGTATGTGGACACGGAAAGTGAAGAACCTGTTCCATTACCTCCAGTCCCTCTACCACAGTTTGCGGGCAAGAAGTGAGTACCTCTTTGCGAGTACACCAACGAAATCATTATTCCAGATGTTTAGGTTGCCTTCGCAATAAGCCTCCACAAGTATTTGTTGAACAGCCTCCGTTAATAGGAAAAAGCGTTCCTCCTCCTGCTCCGGGTGCTGCTCGAACGGTAAGTGGGTAGGAACTCGATCTATTAGGGGAGTATTTGCTCTCAACCGTCTCTTTCGCCATACAGAACTAAATATGGAACGATTTATTGGCCTTTATGAGAGGCAAAACCAAAGAGTTTCTCAGAGTCCATTGTTCAATCACTGAAAAGTTGTCATATTTAAGGTCATTGCTGGTGTTGGAGCAATTAGAAAAACGCGCATACTCGGTGTCTGAGAGTGTTGTGGACGTGAGTTTTTTCATCTGCTTTTGCTTGTGTTCATGTTGAGGCGAAAATTGGTGTTTAAATCTTCTCCTGAAGCGAGTAGTGTTCTATTACGCGTTTTTTGTTCCTTTTGTCTTTCCAAAATGTCGATGCTTACGACCTTACCAAAGGATTAAATTGTTTCACTTCAATTTGTTTCAAATTGTTGGGTTTACCGATGTAAGAGTCATAGCGACTTCTTCAGTGTTGAGAAATGAGGAATGGCCATGAGAGCGGTAATTTGATATTGAACAAATAACAAAGTAGTGGTGCCAAATGAAGCGAAAGTGACTAAATGCAAAAAAAAATTCCAAGAACCCATGATGAGTCCTCATTTTGTCCGCTGTATTACGTGAGGTTCACTTCTTAAAGTGACTTTGGGTAGGGTATTTCTATAGAAGACACGTTATGATTACAAGATATGACTGCACCGTCAAAATGTAAATCTAACGATATCTAAGCGAGAAATGCAAATGTAACTATTTACAACTTTTTTGTGGCTAACTCAGATTTGAAGCTTGACTCATTGCTATGGTTTACCTTTCGTCCAAAAACACCATTTCTTCTTTCCTTTGCATGCTGGCCACCGCTTCCAGCGCAACTTCATTCACCTCAATGTCACCTACTCACTACTCTTGAGTTATCGCATTTGTTACTGCAGCTCACTGTCCGTAACATACCTCGCACAACTTACCTTCCCACTTCTCTTACGGTAGTAAGTAATAAGAAAGGTGTCCAAAACTGCTTAGTTGATGGGGGTAGCCTTCGTGAATTCAGCGATTCGCTAGTAGCGAATCCACGGATTTGCAAAGTCTGACACCGGTCTTTGTGCTCATAGCGATCGGGCTTTTGCCCAGGATATCCTTTTGTGTTTCCTCACATCTGGATGTATAAATTGCATTATCATTGTCCACTGAATGCATGCTATTTTGTTGCGTTGGTGCCTACATGATTAAGAATGTCAGAAAGGTGTGTTTCAGAACGAAAACAAATGTGGAAAAAAGCTATCGAATGATCGGGATGAAGCCGTTAAAGCAGGATTACATGGACGACTCCCACCTAAAGATCTATTAACAAGAAAGCAACCATTACCTGCTGTTGATCGGGCGGTCCAAGGGCCGCAATCGAATTCACCGATTCCGGAAGTGAATCCTAGTCCCTCGACCGTTGTTAACAAACATAAGGATTTATTTCAAGGTGTTTTTACTACAATTGCAAAAGGTAACATTTTCTTTTTCAGTCACTGTTGTTCATTGTTGTGAAATAACTCATTCAAGGTGGTAGTGCAGATGTTGACAAAGCGGATAACGGAGTGGAACCAATTCCATTGGCTGAGCCAGCACCTGAAGCTGCTAAGGTAGGTCAGGAGTTATATTCGCTGTGAACGTCTAGATTCACTTCTTATTTATAGAGCGTTCCATTACCGCGCCGCCTAGGAACGAAAAACTGTATAATAACTTCACTTCCATTACCACTTCTCAGTCGACACACGGACAATGCAAGTTTTCTCTCTAAATTTCTTTTTGGTGTTCTGCACTTCACTCCAGGTTGTTAACTAATGTTTATTAATTTTTTTAATATTTGGAATCAATCATTTGTAGTGCTCTCGAGAACCAAGTGGTTCATCAGCAGTACCGAATGCGAACGCGCAATCGTCGGAGGTACAGTTTGTCACAAGTCACCTGCTATTTTCGTGATGCGAGTATTTTTATTTCAGGACGAGCTTACAGTATGTGACATGGAAATCGAATCAGGCTCTGAAGAAACCCCTACTCCTCCAAATGTAAAGTCTTCTCCAGAAAGAACAGATGAGGCAAGTTTATCAGTTCATTTTTCAGATCACGAGTACAATTGCCAATCCGAATCCTTACCATTACTCACTTTATCAGTTTCTCTTTGATTTTCTGTCATTAATCTTCCTGACTCTTGAACATCATTAAACTTTATAAACCGGTAGACCGTCATTATATAAAAAAGGTTGCTTCATTCCAAAAGAGTATGTGCTCCTTCTTCATCACATCATGTTACTTATGTCACAACGCAAAGAAATCCCTATTAATTTGGCAAAAAGCAATCAATACTTAAGACTGCATAATCCAAGGCAGGTCCATTGGAAGCTAATATCATTATCTCCTGCATGCATGCGAAACACTTATTTTGATCAAAGAAACGGGAGAACAATTCTTATATTATCATAAAAACTTCACTTGCTTGAATCATGTGATCGACCTCTAGTTTTATTTCCTTTTCTGTTCTCTGCGCTCTCTTACAAGCTGATTAGTCCTACATCCATGTGATATGACGTTAAATGGCGATTCATGACGTGAAATTGCACTGCTCACTAATCACTTCCTCGAAGGACCCATTCTAGATGAAGTGCTTGATTTGTTCACTACAATACCGCTTTTTTCAAGGCAGTGGACTTCATTGATGATCATGACGAAGATTACGATGCTCAGTTCATGTGTGAAACGACGGCGTCAATGGATTCGCAAGTCAGCTCGTGCCCTTCGTCGGCTTCTACGACCTTCGGTATGGTGCTTGCTTCATTTCCTGTTGAAATCATTGCCGTTGTTAGTGCTAAGTAGTGTCATTGTTTGTATTATTATTTTGTGACAGTAAGGTATTTAAGAAGCCGGGTGCTGTTTGACTTCAAAGTATTAGGTTGAGCAATAATTATCCGCCGTTTTTTTCGGCTCATGGCTTTTTGATTTTTTGCTGATTATTTTCAAAGATTATGATGTAGTCTGAAAGCGCAATCTCTTGTACATTTTGATGTACAACACTTGTGTATTTACTTCACTCTGGAGCTTACACACTAGCAAAAGATTGCTCCCGCTACATGAGTGCAAGTTGAGCTCGAAACCGAATGCTTCTGCATCTGCTCGTAGAATCAATGAAGCCTGGGATGAAGGCACGGTTGCAGAGAGGACTGTTCGAGAGCGTTTGTTGATTACGCATTTATTGTTGTTTTTGTTTGGTTTTGTTAAAAACTCATGAGTGAAATGAAAACGGCGGATATTTATTGCTCAACCTAATAGTTTCAATACGAAAACAATCCAACTCTTTCCTTCGTTAAGTAACATTGATCGCAATCGTCAAAAACATTTATTTCAGGTGAGGAGTCTTCAACAACAACAGACGTGGCGAGTTCCAAAGCGACTGGTGTTCAGGTTTGCTTTTAGATCATGACATGTGACTAGGTTTTCATCAACTCGTTATTTGGAAAGTCTGGATGGCCAGAAGTTTTCTTCATTTATGAACCACTGCTCTTTTTTTCCGGAGACTACTACCTGTACTAAAACTTCTCATAGGAAAGCTGTCAAAGGAGAAGTCATGAGAAGCGCGACTGCACAACTATAAACGATCAAATCGTCCCTGGAAATTATACAAATCTGAAAAATGCATGCGTAAGCATGAGTATCTTGTCTAACTCTCCTTCTCATGTGTGCAGTCCCCTTTTCATGATTACCTGGCGCTTGTTTGCATTGCTAAGCCAGGTAAGAGCCGGTACGTTTGCTGTCGCGACTGCACTATGCCATCACGACAGCGCCATCGCGATTTGTAACCGAGATAACAAGCGCAAAGTCTGACACCTGCACAAGGATAAGGGAAGTAGTTACAGAAACGCTAAGGCGTTCCCAGCCTATTGCTTCTTGTCTTCTTCCTTGATCGGCAATATGGGTTGTCCGAAAAGTCCTGGGAGACCTTAGTAGAAGGTTTTATTTGTCTTAAGGCTTCGCAACGGGAGCATTCTGTTCCAAAAATGAGCAATGTATCGGTTGGTTGTCCGCAAGGAACGGCTAGCGTGTACTCACCATCCTGGAGGCGCAGCCGAATGCGACCAGTCGTGGCCAAGGCGCTAAGCCGCACCCATTTGACAGACATCGAGGTGCTCTACAATCTTAATTATGGGGCGATATGTTCGCATTAGTAGAACTGGGTTGCGCCAACCTGGTAATGCGACGAAAATGATTGTGACTGAGTCTCATCTTCTTCCTTTGCGCAAAGGAATCTTTTGACAAAAAAAGTTTCGTGAGAATAGATGGGGCATCAAGTGAACCACACACTTGAGCCTTCCGATTTATCTAAAGGAAGCGTCTTTCATATGCTGAGGGTGTTACTCTCGCCGTTTGAATGTCTCTTTCAATGGAAGAATGTTCAATTGACATGTCGCAGAACTTCTGGACTCAGTGCTACCTAGTACTTGGCTCACATCTACATACGAGAGATTTTTTCGGCAGGCAGGCTAAACGTGTTTCAGACACGTAGTCGTTACATCTTTTGCTGCAATCCGTTACCAGTTTGGGCGTCACAGGAGTATTCAGCGATATTTAATAGGGCAACTATAATTTCAAATATCATAAGATTCCGGTCACGCCGGCGCACTCGGACCATCATGCTTGCTCAAACCCTCCTTTTCTGGTCTCCTATAACTTCCGGTTTCCATGCAGTTTTCGAAACATTGCGAATTTCGGATCACGCTCCGCCCGCTAACACCTTATACTTCTCTTTCTTGAACACACTCTTCCACTTTTTTGTTTTCCATTC